AAAAAAAAAAAATCAGGGCCTAACTGATAACGGACCTGAACAACCAGACCATTTGGGCTTTGTGCAAAAATGGGCTTAGACCAAGCTAGAGAGAAGTAAGGAGAAGAAACAATAATATAGCAATGATGTACTAAAAAATATGCAGCTAATTTTATCCCAAAATGTAGCATCAACACAAAACGGCACAATAACTTGAATTACAATCTTGAGCATCTTGAACTCTATAAAAATTTTTGGCCGCACCACCAGTTATGCTCCTGTGTCGTGTTCCCAACTCAATTGGAATGGCAATGGGGTTCAAGACAAGCTAATGGTTTCTTTAAGTATCAGTCTAAAGCAACAATGATAACTGATAAAATCCACTACCAAGGAGGTACCGTTGTCCCCAAAAGCAGAATCATCTGTAGTTGGAATGCCATCAACAAAAATCCGGCTGGTTAGCTAGATACCCCCATTCCAATGAGATCCGAGCTCCATCTTTCAAGATATTGGATGCCGTCTCCTGTGTTTCTCCACTCGTTAGTTGTGATTTTAAGGGAGGGATACACATGCAGAACCAAAATGAAGTAGAAAAAAGGGAAAAAAAAAACAAATCACCTCTTAGGTCGGCTACGATCTTCTTCATAGTCCATCACTCCACCAGGTTCAGAGTAGATCTCCTCGATCCCTCGGAAATCAACATCGGCCTGCTCACAGGGTGTAACTTCTGCCACAACGTAAGTAAGCCACATCGACCAACATATCTTGGTATTGAATGAGAAACTCATGGCAATTGGCAAACTAATTTTAAATGCTGTTAACTAGTATATTTGCACATAATTATGTAGGTAAAGCTCTTATGTCATCCTCATTATTTTATGCATTTTGCAGCATTTAAAGAACTCTGACAATCCCCACCCCCTTCCCTTTCTTCTCCTAGGCACATTTATGTCTATAATCTACTGACAGGACAGATGTAGAAGAATCCCATTAGCTTGGCATTCTTGAACACCCGTGAGGAATTGTAAGGCCATCTTTTGCAATTAATACGGTTATATATACTCCTATGCCAAATCATATTAGAAGGGGCAGACAATTTAAATGTAAAGCTGGATTCAACTGACCTTGAGGGACATTGATTTCTTTACTTCTTCCACCCTTTCTTCAACATCCTTCCCGTGTTTCTTGTCCAACTCGCTCATGGTATCAGCCCATTTTATCTTCTCTTGAATTGAGACAAGTAGGTTATCTGACGTCGCCAACCTAGGTTTTTCACATATAGAGATGTTAGCAAGGGTGTTTGATAAAATGCAGAGACGAATCACATTAAAATTTTAAGAACACATGTAAACCAGGTCGCATTTTTTTGATAGCAATTGCAGTCATAAATATGAAGAGAACAAATACAAGGAAGCTCTTTGTACTAGACATCTTACCAGCTTGACAGCGTTTGGATCATATTTCCAAGTTGACCAGGCCTCAGATCCCTCCCAGCAGCAAATTGGACCTGTGTTTCACAACAAATATTTGAAACATACTCCTTAAAGAGCTTTAATATCCCCAAGGGAAAATAGGAAAAGCAAATTAGCAACTTCAAGGGTGAGGACAGCTAGCTCATACCTCAAAACATCTTCGCAGCTGATCCAGCTTTCCCCTAACTATGCCCTAAAAAATTGAGGGAAAGAAGATCAGCAGCAAAACAAAAAAAAAAAGAAAGAGAAATCTGGTGTTATTAAAGGTTTTCCCAAAGCAAAACAGTGTCAAAATTAGGTCCTGAAATATGTGAAGAAGAAGAGAAATGAACAAAGAGAGTACCTACCGCATACATGCACTCATTGATAAGAAAATCTTCAAGTTCACGAACATTTGTGACATCTAACTCCTGCATTAGTTGATCATATGGCAATACCTGAAAAAGAACTAGAAAATTAGAACCAAAGAAAGATAATGCAGCATGACAAAAAGAGAAGCTCAAACACAACCAACATATAGTAAACCTAAAGAATGAGGATCACTTAAAGAATCGCTGGTTCACCACCAAAATACAGGCTTTTCAATTTCATTTACGAGAGGAGGTACTGAAAGAACTTTGTTGAAAAGATTCTAATAATCTTGTGCCATCAATCTCTGGGAGTTTCTTATCCCAAAAGAGAGATGAGGGGATCTCAATGTGGAAAGATTGTCAATCAACAGAACAGTTGCATATGACAACCAAAAATCAACTAAAGAGGGTGATAGAATTCCAAATGGAATGCAAATGATTGTAAAAAAGGAATAAAATAAGGGCAGCACACCTTGTTTGTCTCAGCAAGTGTAAGTACGGTAAGTTGCTTTAACTTGAGGACTTGATCTGGAGCTAGTTGAGGAAGACGTCCAGCATTATCTAATGAATTTTGCAGCCAAAATTCAGTTAATTTAAAACTACACAGACAAGTATAATAAAGACAAGTTAAAAGAATTTCTTTTCTCCCTAGCTGTCACCTGATGCCCTTTCATTATATGCATTATTACGAGATGTTATTGTGAATCGTATTTCACAATCCATGATATAGGCCAGGAGATCAACTTTTTACATTTAAATTCAGACCAAATGGCCAATAATTAAAAAGGTGTGCTTCAAAGTACTTCCACTTCTATTTAAACTTAATAAAACCATATGGCAAACTGATCGTACTAGTCTACGACTAGAAGGAAATAAGCATTTCACAAATTTCAAGACAATACAAACTAATAACTGAAAAACAAAAAACGGTTTTCCTACTTACTCTTGTAATCGCTCCACGTGCCATGTGCAAACAAACGAAGCATGTCCACAAAAACAGAATGTTCCGTTCCTGGAAGCTGCAAAATTCCATTGGTTTCATAAAAATCCTCAGGCAATTATTCTTATCAACAAACTCAACTAAAAATATGAAAAACATGGTGACAATAAAAGAAACTAAAAGGGAACTCAAAGAATGTCAACTAAATTTGCAAGTTTCATATTTCCATTACTAGTCCATCAGCCTCTCAGAAAAACGAAAATCTTTACCCAAATAAGTCCTATTCAGTATTTGCCATAATTTATAGAAGGTAATCATCAATACAACATATCCCAACATGATATTCAAAATTTCCCTTTTTTTCCCTTTTACCTATTCTATCAGGGATGGTGAACCATGCATCACTGATCCACAATAAATATAATAATCCCCAAAGAGTGATGCACTGGCGTGAAACAAACTAGAAAACTACAATAAACCAACATGAATTTGCAAATTGTCATGAAAACCTAAACCAGAATCTTAAATAACCCTTCCCCAAGATTTTCAAAGCACCAAAGAAAGCGCAAACTCACACACTAACAATACACCACCACAGGAGCATAGAAAGGAACAAAACAACAGTGAAATCAACGAATGAAAACGGGGGGAATAGAATCAATTCTAACCTCAGCTACGGTTGAGACGGAAAGAATCTCGGAGAAAGCAAAGAGAGAAGGATGCGATGTGGCTTCGACGATGATGGACGCTAGGGCTGAACCTTTACTGGCGGATGCTCGGTTGACGAAGTGATCGATTAGCTCTGCTTGTTTTTGCTCGATATCCATGGTGAATAATGATCTCACACAGCAGCACAAACACGAAGTGAATACTAGAATTCAATCAATCAATCAATAAATAATATTTGCAAAAAATAGTTGAGTAATTGTGCAGAAAGCAGCATTCAGAGGGGAAGAAAGCAAGGGTTTATGGGGGATGGTGATGGATTGGAAGAGAGGGGATTTTAGGGTTTATGCTCAGTGAAGAGTGAGAAGAAAAGATTGTGCCCTCCCTGGGAAGAAAACCATAACGACAGATCTCCCCGTAGAAGTTTTCTGGTTTACTCAGCGGTTATATATATATATATATGTAAGTGGATATTCATCTTATTTTTAAAAAATTAAAAAAATAAAAATAAAAATTATTTTACTGTATTCTTTAAAAATAATAAGGTAATTTAATTTTTTTTAATAAAAATTTATTAAAATAATATAATTTTAAATTTTTTTTTTAATTTTTAATTTTTAAGTGGTAGAATTGATAGTCACTATTTATATATATATATATGACGTTGAATTCCAATTGCTGATTATTAGAATTAAAAATGATTAATCATTAAAGGCTTTTTCATAAGAAGAGAAAGGTCAAAATGAGAAGCAACAACGGAAAATAAGGAAAACCCGGGGACCCAAATGAGAATGTCTTTTTTTTATTTTTTTTTTGAACATGTTACAAATATGAGAGAGGGGAGATTCGAACTCCAGTTCTCGGGGTTGAAGGATGCACTTTATAAGTCGATCTATAATTGTTGGGTCGTGAAGCACAGGTGCTAAATGAGAATGTCTTGGTATAAAAATATGAGGAATAATTAATAATAATTATATGATAAATTTAATAGAATTAGGGTTTATATTATAATTTATATATCATATAATTATTATTAGACGCTTATACTTTTAATATTAAGATCTTTTGACTT